GGGCGGGGGGAAGGGCCTTGGCTCTGAGCTGACCCAGCGATTTCCTGGGAGTGTGGATACCTAACCACAGGGTTCCTCCAGGATTGAGTCCCTCCCTGGAATGGCAGGGCCTCACGCAGCACTCACCGCAGCCTTGATGGTCGCAAACTCCACCACGGCGGTGCCTGCCTTCTTGCTGGACAGTACCAGGTTGAGCACCTCTCCGTACTGTGGGGACAGGAAGGCCCGGCTCAGGCGGAGGCAAGCCTGGCTGCCTGGGGGCCCCCGGGTGTGTTCTGCTGGGGACAGCGTCTTGTTGCCAGGTTCCCAGAGGGGATAGCAGAGACAGAAGGAAAGGGTTTTCCCAGGAATACAGGAGAGAAAGGACAGTTGGACAAAGGCTGGGACTTGGACTGGCGGAGTGGCAAAGCTGCCTTGATGACTGAAGATGAAGGGGGCAAGGCTTTTGTGCCAGATGCCCACCTCCTCTCTCCCCACACACTCAGCCAAGCCCTCTGCTTCTCAGGATGACAGGCAGGGAAGCGAGACGGGCTGGAGGGGAGAGGGGGGCCGTGGCCTGGAGGAAGCTAAGCTGCCCTATGATCCATGACAGAGAAAGAGCAGGGAGGGCGGGTTAGGCATGGAGAGCCTGGAGTTTGGATGGAGATGATGGGAAAGAGGGCAGTCAGCAGGGCAGACCTTTTGAAGAAGCTGCAGGAGGACATCTCTGGAGTAGCCGCCTTTTGACCCGTCCTCTCTGCACTTCCATTTTAGCTGGAAAGACAGCAGCGGGCATCACCAGTGAATACCAGCCTTCGCCTGAACAACCCCAGACCCCACACCTGAGCTTGACAGTCTGAACAGACGCCCTCCACTAGCAACCTAGGGAGAACCCTCCCAAGTGTGTCCCCCTTGAGAACGGACAAGCAGGGCAGCCTGCTCCCTGCAGCCATGTCCCCAGCCTGTTGGAGGCTCTTTTCGAGGGCCTCTGGGGAGTGCTGCCTGCAACAGTCAGGGCGGAGAGCAGCCTCCATGGCGAGCTCTACGGGGCTGTCCTCCCCGGGCAGTGGGAAGGTGGAAGGCTGTGCAGAGTGGTGCTGGCTGCCCGCGATCCAGTGTCCCCACCAGAACCCTTGAGCCACAGAAAGTACCTGTTCTTGCTGAGGAGGTAGCGTGAGGTGACCCATGGATCCCCTCAGGGCTCACCTTTAGCTTGGGAGTTCCTTTGCCTTCAGGATTTTCTGCCTTTCCTAGAAAATTTGGGGAAAGTAGAAAGTAGAGTCTGAGGGAGAGCTCTCCCAAAGGAGATGCAGCCCAGGCCCAGAAGACCTAGAAAAGGTCACTCTGACCAAGGGTGACAGCTGCCCCTGCTCGGGAGCCCCTGAAGCTACTACCCGAGGGGGGTCTCCCGCTGCCCGCTGCAGGGCACGGTGAGCACTCTGCCAGTGCAGGGCTGTGAACACCTGGGGGCAGGACGCAGGGGTACAGACCACACAGCTCTACTAAAACTAGAGCTTCTCTCCTGGTTACCTGCTCCAAAACAGAGCCAGCCCTACTGGGACTAAGGTATATCAGGCCAGGAGACCTAGGGCAGAGTGAAAGGCAATCAGGCCAGAGAACGGGGAGGAAGAAGGGACAGGGGGCATGTGTCCATGTGGGGTGCCCCTGGGACTGCAGCAGGTGAAAGTCTCCACAGAGAGCAGCGGGAGGCGGGTGAGGGTGATGGACTCTCACCTCTCAACCTCTGCTCCCGTTCCTGGCGTATCTGCTCCTGCATCAGCCTCTGCTGTTTTTCCAGCTGCCGGGAACCTTCTTCTCGCAGGCGCTCGATCTGCAGAGCAGGGGGTGGGGAGGTGACAGTTCTGTGCGGATCCAATTCCCGGCTGGCTCGTGCTGGAAAGGCCCCTGGGAGTCCCACCTGTGAGCTGGGGCTCTGCAACCTGCAGGGGGGACAGGCTGCCCAGATCCCACAGGAGAAGGGGGGAAGGGCATGACCTCCAGCCACCACACCCAGCTAGGTCCACCCTCCCCAACTCCAGCAGGCGGCCTCAGGCCCTCAGGCCCCGTCGCTCACCTCCTGCTCTAGTGTCCTGGTGCTCCGGCTCTCCTCCTCCTCCTCGTCCTGGGCCTGAGCCTGCCGCTCCCGGGCCTCCAGGTCTAGACACAAGGGTTGAATGACCCAATGGCTGGTCTAAGCAGTGTTTTCACGGCCTCAGCTCCCCCCGCTCTGGCTGCTTCCCCTGCCTCACACACTGTACGGAGGAAACCGTACAGTGACTCTGCCCCCACCCTCCATGCCCACGTGCTCCCAAGTTTATTTCCATTGAGAAAAAGTCACAGCACGGAAGTACAGGCTCCAGATGAGTGGCCGGGTCTGGAAGAGTGAAACCAGCTCATACTGACCGAGCTGGCCGTCTGACCAGCGACCAGGGCGTGGGCAGGTGCTCATGTTGGCCACCCAGGCCACGTGCAGGGATGCCAGGGGGAGGAGCCGCTGGCCCCTGTCCCTGTGGTTGGCACCACAGCCCGACTGTGCTCTTGCCTTGGCTTTGATGCATTTCCCACCAAGGAGCTCAGGCTGTCACTGTCTCCTTCACCTCCCCCTCGACTCACATTTACCAAGCCTCACGCGACCCGGCCACCGCAGCTCCCACGGGGTGGTGGGTTCTGTGAGGACAACACCGGGCCACAGAGCCCTTCCCGCCTTCCGAGGGAAAACTGCTTGTGGCCCGTTCCAGGCGAACTGCTGTGACAGGCTCTTCTCCCAGGCTCGGGACTCAGTGCGTTCTTTCCCGTGCACTTTACTTACCTTCCATCTCCAGAATTTTTGTTTTTGATAGAGAGATGGATGTACTGGGATGGCATATGGACATATTACATATATGGGTATCAAATAGGCAAGAAGATGGAGGGAAAATCGAGTGAAGAATGTATGGACCAATCTAACTGGGGTGATGAAACTGATTTACAGTCATAATCACACCATTTGGTAAATTTACTAAAAATCACTGAATTGTACACTGGAAATGGGTGGATATTATAATATGAAAAGTATACCTCAATAAAGCCGTTTAAAAAAAAATGCCTGGACCTCTCTGGATCCTTCTGAGGGGACTTCGCAGAGGAAAGCTCTGTGCAGAAATGAGGCTGGGCCTAGTACAAAGCCCCGGATGGCAAGGTGAACAAGAACGCATCTACGCGGACTGCGGGTTTAAAGCAGAGCAACGCCAGTTCTCATCTTTGTGGCGCCTTAGCTTCTCTGTCTACAAAAAATGGGTGTAGTAACACCCACCTCCTTTGAGCGCTGTGACAGTTAAAAGAGACAGTAAGACGCCTGCCACAGTGCCTGGCTAAGAGTGAGTCTAGTCACTGCTGTTATTCTGAGTGTCCCTTAGATCCACCCGAGGACAGGGTCCTTCCCAGAGCTGGGCCAAGGGGCTCTGAGTTGCCGGAACTGAATGAGCTCCAGGAAGAAAGGTGAGGTTGCTGCATGAAAACGGCCCAGGGAAACGGCAGCGCCCCCCACCCCCCGCACCGCCATCTCACCTACCCAGCTTCACTTTCTTCCTTCTCTCATCTAGTTTCTGGGTCCTCTCTGCTGCCTGCTTCTTGGCTTTCCTGATCTTGTCATACGCGGCCTGGCAGGAGAAAGGAACGCGGAGGAGCAGTCAGTCAGGGAACAAGCAGGGGGCCCTTCCCGGCCC